GAAGGGCAGAGGACCTGAACATAGGACACACAGATGGCCGACAGACATATGAAAAGATGTTCAACATCACTAATCATCAAAGAAATATAAATTAAAACCACAATGAGGTATCACCTCACACATGTCAGAATGGCTATCGTCAATAAATCAACAAACAACCAGTGTTGGAGAGGATGCAGAGAGAAGGGAACCCTCTGGGAATGCAGACTGTTGTAGTCACTGTGGTAAAACAGTACGGTGTTATCTCAAAAAACTAAAAATGGATCTGCCTTATGATCCAGCAATTCTACTCTGGTAATACAGCTGAAGAAATCCAAACCACTAATTTGAAAGAATACCTGCACCCCTATGTTCACTGCAGCATTATTTACAGTAGCTAAGATCTGGAAGCAGCCCAAGTGCCACCCATCAATAGATGAGTGGATAAAAAAGGCTGTGGTACATTTTACACAACGGAATACTACTCTGCTGTACAAAAGAAGAAAATGCCACCTTTCGGGACAGCATGGATGGACCTGGAGAATATTATGCTAAGTGAAATAAGCCAGTCAGAGAAAGACAAATAAATATGATTTCACTTACATGTAAAATCTAACGAACCAAATAAACTAAAAAACAAAACAGAGACAGACTCAGACAGAGAACAGAGGGGAGGGGGGTTGGGGAGCTAAGTTAAAAAAAAACAAAGTCATAGACACAGACAACAGTATGGTGACTATCAGAGAGAAGGGGGGGAGGGGCGTAGAAGAGGGTAAAGGGGAATAAATGGTGATGGAAAGAGACTGAACTTGGGGTGGTGAGCAAAATATAATACAATAGAGATGACGTATTCTAGAGTTATACACCTGAAACCTAAAGAATTTTATTAACCAGCGTCACCCTAATAAATTCAATAGAAATAAAATAATTAGCCCTGGCTGGTGTGGCTCAATCAGACTGTAGAGCAAAAGGTCACCAGTTCGATTCCCAGTCAGAGCACATACCTGGGTTGCCAGCCAGGTCCGCAGTAGGGGGCCTGTGAGAAGTAACCACACACTGATGTTGCCCTCCCTCTCTCCCTCTCCCTTCCCCTCTTTCTAAAAATAAATAAATAAAATCTTTTAATTTTTTTTAAAAAGTAAAAAAATTAGGAGAAGGGGATATAGGGAAACTAAATGGTAATGGGAAAATATACAACAAAGATTAAATCAGTCCTGGCTGGTGTGGCACAGTGGACTGAGTGCCAGTCTGTGAACTAAAGGGACACAACTTTGACTCCCAGTCAGGGCGCAGGCCTGGGTTGCAGGCCAGGCCCCCAGGTGGGGGCGAGTGAGAGGCGACTGCACACTGATGTTTCTTCTTCCCTCTCCCTCTCTAAAAATAAATAAATAAATAAATAAATATTTTTAAAAAACACAATAAAGATTAAATCAAATCAAACAATCAATCAATCAATCGAGGAGGGACTCGAAGCCATGGGAATGTCTCCTGTCCACATCTCGGCCCAGTCTCATGGGGACCAGGCCTGGTGGGGCTTCCCTGGGTGGCAATCACCCCTCTGCCCTCTCGGAACCCCAAGGGCCACCTCCCGCTTTTTTTCAGGAGAACCATAAACTCTAACCTTCCAATGCCAAGTGGGCTCTCCCCCAACACGGCAGGTAAAGTGACCGCAGGGACCCAGAGCACAGACCTGGGGCCTGCTTGGTGTCTGGCTGGGCCGGACTGTGACTTCCTCAGGCAAAGCCCATGTCTCTCATCTTCACTGCTCCCACCCCAGCCAGCATGGACGAGCCTGCATTCAGTAAGTCATTAAGTCTAAAGAGATGAAACTGATCACCCCCCCCTTCACTTCTTCGCGAGTTGAGAATAAAATCCAGTCTCCCCAAGCAGCCTCCTCCACCCTGTAGACCCAGGGCCCTTCCCACTCCTCAGTCCTTTCTCTCCTCTTCTGCAATATGCAGTCCACCTTAGGGCTCCCTGCCCCCTTCTCTCCTGCCTCACCTCTGCCTCACCCTCTACGCTTCTGCCCTCCCACCCAAGAGAGGGCAGAAGTGGTGATTGCCACCACTCCTCTCTGATCAGAGAGGCCCTCCCACCCAAGCTGATCAGATTTCCACCATCACTCTCAGTCCAGGCACCTTGCTGTCCGTTGGCGTGCTGACCGCCACTTGAAATTATAGATAGAGGTCTGTGTGTGGTGACTTGATTGATGCTGGCAGACTGAGGATTCCCTGAGGGCCAGGACTGCTCTGTAACCCAGGATAGCACCTCAACGATGTTTGCACCAGTTACATGACAGAGGAGATAAAACAGCCACAGGTAGCGCCAGCCCTCTTGAGCTGACCCTGCTGAAGTGGGTGCCCGGATGGCAGAAAAAACAGAGAAAGAGGTCGGGGGTGTGGGTGGTTACAGGTGTCATCTGGAGGCTGAAGGAGACAGTACTGGAAAAGCCCTCTTCCTCCCAGGCTGGGAGCCCAATCAGTCTCCTGTCCACACCAGGGCGACTGGACTGGGGAGGTACAGCCTAAATGCCCATTCCTGGCCTCTGTCATCAATCCCGATTGTCCCACAGGCCGGGCAAAAAGAGCTCAGGGGCACCAGAGAAAGGGGCTTTTTCTTCCCTCCTCCACCTCACCAAGCTGGAACCTGGCATTGTCTGTGGCCAGATTGTGGCTGGAGTCAAAGAAAGAGTTCTGAGAACTTTTCAACAGGTTCAGATTTTCTTTAGCGAACAAACCAAAGAGCATCAGTTCTAAAAGCAACAAAAAGTGACAAATCTGCATCTCAATCAGCTGGAGGCTGGTCAGCTTTTCACAAGTCTAATTCAATAAATTCAGCAAATGGCTTGACTGCCCCTCTGTGATTCAGCCATCCACCAAGTCTGAAAATATTTCACCTCAGCAGAAACCTTGACCCTGAATCCTCCAGTCACTCCCAGTCAGGCAAGGCACGAGGATTCCTGGCCCTGGAAAGCAACAGGCTACTTGGACAGGCACTTGGACTCCAAGAAGCCAAAGAGATAAGCAGAATCAGGAGGCCTGTCCTCGGAGGATGCTGAGTCAGTGGATTTACCAGAGAGTCAGAGAAAACAAAATCAGAAGAAGGAGCAAAGGCATGGGATAAGAAGTTGTTGTTCAACCCACATCCTGACCCTTCACCTTCACTTTGAGTTATGGGGGGGGGGGACTAGTCAAGCCTTAAGAGCTTAAACACCAACTCGGCACTGTGTTGCCACAATCTCTCAGACTCCTCCCACTTAAACGAAGGAAGTAGCCAAGACTGAGACAAGAATGAAGTGACTGACCCCAAAGCTGCTGATTCCATCAAATAAATTAAATCAGTGGACAAACTTGGGAAGAACCCTAAAATCTAACCTTCCGATACCAAGAGGGTCAAAAAAATTGAATACAGGAGTCCTCCAGTGTGGACAAGATGCTAGAAAGCTTCATCTGGGGGTGATCAGGTTTCTTTTTGCTCTTTAAACTTCCCATTCAAAAGCCTAAGTAAGAGACCAAGGAAGCAAGCAGGAAGGGTTATGATCTCAAAGGGAGGAGACAGGGGAGGAGAGGAGGAGCCAAATACCCCCACCTGTTCCTTCCCGAAAGTCATTAATCCACCATCTCTTGGGCAGAACAGAAAGCTTGTTTAAGGAACAAGGTCTGAGTGGCTTTTTCATCGCCCAAGATTTCTTGCTGACATGGGGAAAGGTCTGCCAAGAACCCTTAGGCTATCAGGAAATATTTCTGAGTGGCTAAAAGGGTAAAGGTTCTACATGACATATTCTCTGCCCTCTCCCAGGAGTGCATGCATCAACTCCCTTTCTCCTGCCCTTAACCTCTCCATTAGGCTTTCTTAGAGACTGGCACACTCAAGAATATCCTGGGAAGATCAGAGAAAGGAAGCAAGCAGGGAGGACTACAGGGGGTCGCAGGCAGCATGAGCTGGTTCAACACTTTTTCCATCCTCCAAAGGACTCTTGGAAGGGAAGGCATGCTGGTGGTATGATCAGGGGGTCAGGCTTGGGCTATCTCCACCCAAAGGGACTCAGGCAGGGGATGCCTCACAAAGGGACTGGAGAGAGGCATTAGGGAGCTCAACGGTTAGGCTGAACAGTTGCAGACAGCAGGAAGGCAGAGGGAAATGTTTCCTATCAAAGTTGCCTAGGAAGGGGGCACGAGGGTAGAAGCTGGCAGCCACCTGGGTCCCACTGTTGAGCTGAACCTACCGATGTGCAACAATCAGGACCGTCAACAGAGCTGAATAACGTTAAGGTAAGAACGCGGATTCCGTTTCCTGCACACCGGCATCTCAGCCCACACTCAAACCACCAATGTCGTGGCAAAGGGAAAGGAGAGGCCCAGTGTCATTTCCACAAATGCCCCGCTCGCCTCTTTTCTCACCCCCTCAGTGGGGTAGAAGGCCACTGAGATGCTCTCACAGCTTGTGGAACACAACGTCCTTTGGAAAATCATAAAGGAGCAAAAGTAGACAAATTGTATCTGACAGGCCCTTAAAAGTCTCCATAATGGTCTGCTAAAAAACATGTAGATTCTAGATGAACCTTCCATGGGGTGGAGACCAAACCACTTCCTCTGTTACATCCCAGCCACCGACTCAGGAGTTCCTTTTTCTACAGTGAGGGAGTGACACGCTTACTCCAAGGCAAGTGATTTGCTAAGCACTGGGAGGAGAAGCGTCCAGCAATGTTCCCAGGTGGTGAAAAGAACACCCTGGACTCGGGGTTCTGGATCTATTACTATTACAGTCTCCAGCTGTGTGGCCCTGGGCAAGTCAGAAGATCCGTCTGAGAAGATCTGTCTGAGCCTCAGTTTCTTTGTCCCTAAAACAAGTACAATGATACATACCCAGTAGAGCTGGGTGAGGATTAAATTGGGCTTTTGCTAACTGGGAGGCACTGTACAGCGAGGCAGTATTGATAGTTAGGTCTGCACCGCCATCTCGCCCTATCCAAGAGCCCGTACTCAGGACCACCCCGACCGAGCCCAACGCGCCCGTCTCACCTGGCTCAGTACACAGGTAGGAGTAAAAGCCTTCCGACTTCAGCATGATGAGCAGTGAGCCCCAGCCCAGGAGGACTGCCGAGAAGAGGAGGTTTTCCAACACGGCTGTGCAGGCCATCCACCAGCGGCGCCGATGTGCAGTGGCCAGGGTGGGCGCCATGACGCGGCGAGGTGGCTCGGCTCCGGCTCTGCAGCCACCTGCGCACAGACCTCGGCGTCAGCACCCGGCCCTGCCCAGTCGGAGCCGCCAAGCTCCGCCGCTGCGGCAGCGCAGAGGTTACCCCTCCGAGGCCCGGACTGCAGGTGCGCGCAGCGAAGCAAGTCCCAGCCTTGCCCGGGGCCTGGGCCACCCACCACGGCTGCCTCGTATGGTTGCTCTCCACGCTGGAGCGACCGGCGGGAAGGCTTCTCCCTCAGCTCACTCAGAGGTAAACTGAGGTATGCTAGAAGGAAGGGACTAACGCATGCTCAGGGACGTGGAATTAGTCCTGGCTTCCAGCAGTACTGACAGAGCTTGGGGCCTGCAGGAGTGGCACCCAGAGATTCCGACACCTGGGCAGCGGCATACCTGAGAGCGACCACTGGCTCGGAACCTGATGGGCGCCCTCCCGCCCGCGCCGGAGACCCTTCCCCAGAGCTGGTTTCTTCAACCAGAAGATCAGCGCACCGAGCTCCTGTACAGTCCGCCCAAGGCTCACTGATTGGCCTGACGGCACAGGAACTGCCGCTCCATTGGCCGCTGTCTAGGTCGCTAGGCGCCGCGGCCACGCCAACCCCGCATGGGCGAGGCGAAGCCGGTTCAAACCGGCGGCGCGAGCCACCTGCGCGACCCTCATCCTGGGCATTTTCCCACGCAATTTTACTGCTTCGATGGGAGCAGATCCCCGTCCTTTCATTTCCTTGCTCTTCCTCATTCGTCATCTCTTCTGGCGACTCCTCATCCACCCAGTCTTTCCTTTTGTCTTTTGTATTCCCAGCGTATCCGTACGCCCCCACCCCCGCACCCTCACCCGAGGCCCAGATTCCCAGGATGCAGCTCACCCGGCACCTACTGATGTGTATCGGGCCCGGCTGGCGCTTTTTCTGTCCCCTTTTATCCAAGCCCTTTTATTAGGACCCCAAGATGAAAACACTGCTGCACGCTCATTGGCTGAGTAGGGGCTGGAAACAGGCGTTGGCCAATGAGCGGGCACACGCCCGCCCCGTGGCAAGCAAAAGCCGGTTCCGGCCGGACTTTGAGACAAACAAGAGAGCTCAGGGTGCCGGTGGGACGTGGTGCTGACGCTCTACCTGATTACTTAAAACTGGAGTCACAGCCTGGCTGGAGCCCTTGGAGGCATTGCCCTATTGAGTCTCGGGAGCTCCACCCCGAAGCCCCGGGTTAGGTTCGGGTTCATCCTGTCGGCGTCCCCCAGATTTCCCTATGTGCTCTCTCGTTCCCCTAGCGCACCCAGCTCAGCTTCTGCACTACGCTCTCCGACCTGATAGTCCCCAGCTTTCTCTCGGCCCTGGGCACCACGTCTCGATGTTCTGGTTTCCCGTGGGTCGTTCCTCTCACGCCCCGTCCACTGCCTCCTCCCCACTCTACGCTGCCATTCTGGTTTCTCGCTTCCCTACTCCTAATGTCCCCCATCCAGGAGCTATCTGCCTATCCGGTTCTCCAGACCTCAGTCCAGGTGTGGTGTGCCTCTTCCCTGCATCCCTGTCGACTCCTCTCCTGGATGCTATCTGCCAGGTCCCTAGAACGTGCTCATCGAGGATCCCCAGGTAGTAGGAGTTTGGGGTTTTTCTTTCCCCTAGCACCATGTCTCCCCTGTTACGCCATCTAAACTCTGATCCGGTCCCCTCGGTCCCCTCGGGAACCATGTCCAGGTTGACTATCCTATATCCACTGCCCTGCTCCACCTTCACCCCATTCCTGGACATCTCCCTCAGTTAAGGGCCCTCTTCAGGGTGACGCGGTGGGCAACGACAAGCTGCGAAGACAAGTCGGGCCTCCGGGAGAATGCGTGGAGTCCGGAGGACTCCAGTTCCCAGCCTGATAAGTGAGCTGGACCTCCTCGGAGGAACTGCCCGGGCAGGCGGAAGGAGCCAAGGCTCTGGAGGTTCAGCTGCCCGGCCCCGCCTTCCTGATCGGAGGAACTAGCCTGACCTCGGAGGACTCTCGGTATTCCCCAGATTGAGATTCGTCTCCTTGGCTTGCTCTTGGAGCTCGCTTATCATCCCTGGGCTGTGGGAGCCCCAGCATCCTCCTCCCTGTTACTTGTTCTCCAGTTCGAGTGCGCCCCCTGCCGCCCTGAAGCCGCATGCTCGTTCACACCATGCCTGCAGCTGTAGGCTTGGGGGATCTTTGCTGGTTACCTATTCCCATTCCCACCACCGTGCAGAGTCTAGCCCACTCACAGATTGCGACCACCACTCGACAAACTCTGTTTCTCTTCTCCATCGTCCTAGTAGGCCACCTGCTTGAGGGCAGACTCCGGGCAGCTGTTCATACACATCTCTCAGATTGCTCTCTCCAAAACTGTCCCTCCCTTTCTTTTTCAGATATTAACAGTACTACCTACTGAAGTTAGAGACCATGAACCATCCTGTCAACACCTGCTGTTATTTTTCCTCTCCACCCCACCGATTACAGCCATATCTAATTTGCCTTTCTGTTCATCCAGCCTCCAGTCTCAGCCCCTGAAATTCATCTCTCCATCCCACCCCATTCCAGTGAGCTATGGAAAATGGAAATCTGACCTCTGTAAATCTGCTACAGTTGGTCAGAAACCCTTTACCCTTTGTCCTACAGGATAAAATTCAAGTTCTCCAACCTGACCCACACAGGCTCCTTCCTCCCCACCCGCATCTTTCTCCATAAAGGTTGGTTGGCCTGCCTGGTCCTAGATGCTCCAGTCATACGGAATTGCTTGTTAGTTCCTGCACGTGCTTTTCTCTCGCCTTTGGCCTTCAGAGTCCCTTTTTGGACAGCTCCTCCAGGAAACCTTCCCTAACCTCTCCCCAAAATACTTTCCATTTTCTTTGCTCACTGATTGTATTATATATCTTTAATATCCTTGAAATACATAAACGAGTGAGAAAGAATGAACACCTCGTTGAAAATCGGGGAAAGCCAGTAACATATGGAAAGAAGCTCAATCTTAGAACAATCATAAAAATTCACTTTTTTTTCCTTTCTCAAAGTCTTTACTCTGAAACATGAGGGGGAAATCGTATAGATATACTCGAAAAAGACGTGATCACAGGTAAAAGTGAAGAAAATCTAACCAGAAAGCTTTAAGGCCTGTCAGCTGTTGAACCTGAAGTTCTGAGTATGACATGTTGCAGGGCTGAAAGGAATAGTAGTATTTCTCACACTCAACAGAATCCACACTAACAACCTGATCCTTCTCAAGGGCAGCTATGTCCTCACAAACCTCAGAAAACTGCTTCCTCCATGCCCTTACTCACATGCCAGTGGACAAGGGCATGCTCAGCGTACATCAGGTCAACCATGTGGGACAGGCAAGCCCAGGCCTCAGCAATGGCTGTGGTGTTGCTCAGCCTGCACACAGCTCGCTATGCTTTGGCCAAGTCCCCACCAGACACCACAGTGGCAAGCTGGTAATTAATGCCAACTTTGAAGCCAGTGAGGCACCAATCCACACACTGGATGCTGTGCTTGACCTTGATAGTGGTAATGGCAGCACTGACGTCTTTGGGAACCACATCACCATGGTACAACAGGCAGCAAGCCAGGTATTTACTATGGCGAGGGTCACACTTCATCTGGTTGGCTGGCTCAAAGCACACACTGGGGATCTCTGCTACCGAAAGCTGTTCATGGTAGGATTTCTCAGCAGGGATGACAGGCATATGTGGCCAGGAGGAAGTGGATTCAGGGATAGGGCACAGGGTGGTCTAGAATTCAGTCCAGTTGACATTCAGGGCTCCATCAAACCTGAGGGAAGCAGTGATGGAGGACGCAATCTCGCTAATAAGAATGTGAAGGTTAGTGTAGGTTGTGCTCTCAATATCAAGAATTCTATGACAGATGTTGTAGATGGCCTCATTGTCAACCATGAAGGCACAATCAGAGTGGTGTGAGTGGCAAGGATAGAGTTGTAGGGCTTCGCTACCGCTGTGGAAATGGGTGGCTGGGTAGATGGAGAACTCCAGCTTGGTCTTCTTGCCGTAATTGACAAGACATTCCATCAGCCAAGAAGAGAACCCAGAGCCAGTTCTACCAAACTGTGGAAACCAAGAAGACCTGAAGACCTGTGCACTGGTCAACCAGTTTCCAAATTCAGTCCAACACGAGGTCAATTATCTCCTTGCCAATGGTGCAGTGTCCACAAGCATAGTTATTGGGTGGCATCTTCCTTGCCTGTGATGAGCTGCTCAGGGTGGAAGGGCTGGCAGCAGGTACCAGTGTGAACTCATTAATGACTGGATTCCAGGTCTGTAACCACTGCCTTGGGCACCTGCTTGCCAGCACCTGCCTCACTGAGGATGTAGAGTCATCTTTCCCCTGACAGTCTTGTCATTTGTCATCTGGCCATTGAGCTAGATGTCATGTTGTGGGCAGTAGAGCTCCCAGAAGGCACAGCCAATCTGGACACCAGCCTGGCCCACGTGGATGGAGATGCACTTATGCATGGCTGTGGGTCAGCAAGCACAGGCAACAGGTAGACGCGGGGTCCCGGTTACTGTCCCTGATGAGCTAAGAGTCAGGATGAGTAACACAGTCAAAATTCAGATTTTAATGATACTATTTTTCGCTCAAAAAGCAAAAATAAAATTTTTTATCTGCTCAAAGATTTTAATTTTTTTTTAAGTTTTACCTTTTCATAAAACTATAGTTCTCAATAAAAATGACTCTTATCTGCCCTGGCTGGTGTGGCTCAGTGGATTGAGTGCTGGCCAATGAAGCAAAGTGTCACTGGTTCAATTCCCAGTCAGGGCACATTCAGGAGTTGCAGGCTGGGTCCCCAGTGTGGGGCCTGCAGGAGGCCAACCCCACATTGATGTTTCTCACCCTCTCTCCTTCCCCTCTCTCTAAAATTTAAAAAAAATGACTCATCCATGAAAAAATGTTTTGACCTGTTATCACTTTATTTTTATTACCCCCAAATAATGAGATACCATTTTACACTTACCAGATTGGGTGTAAGGAAGTAGATACCCCCATAACTTGTGAGAATATGAAAACCATACAACTTTTTTGGAGGACAGTTTGGAATAAGTACACAGATGTTTAATGTTCTCACTCCATAACTCAGCAATTCCACTCCCAGGAATCTCTTGTACAAAAAAACTTGCACCAATATAAAAAGAAACGTGGACAAAGTTGTATGCTGCATCATTTATTGTATCAGAACAATTAGAAACAACCAAGTCTCCATACGTAGGGACGGTTTAAATAACCTGTGTTATTTCCACATGATGGAATCTCACGTAGCCATTTTTTGGTAAAAAGAGGTAGCTGTCTGTTTACTGACACCAAAAGATACCCAGGATGTATTGTTAAGTAAAAGCAAATTGCAGAGCAGTATACTCTTTTGTTTTCACGAGCACAGAAAAACATCTGAAAGGAAGCATCTGAGCTGTTCATGAGACACAGCATGGGCGGGAGGGGAGCCGCCCTTATACCCGACCGGGCGATGCAAGTCCGTATGGAACTGGTTCAGAACGAGACCAAAAGACACTCAGTGGCAGTAAATCTGGCC